ATCTCATAATTATGAGATAGCATCTCATAATAATGAGATAGTATCTCATAATTATGAGATAGCTAAGTCATAATAATGAGATAGCTAAGTCATAATTATGGGATAGCGAAGTCATAATTATGAGATACAAGTTTTATTTTTTTATCAGGTTGGCGGAAATGGGCTTCCACAGTAGTTGCCTAACTACAGCAGCTAATTAACTAGATAGCATTTTATTTTAGGTTTTACTAATCAACTATTAAGGTCAAAATTAACTAATAACTAAATATTTGGGGTCTTACAAGTTAACCAGTAAACATTTTGGGCATAGTAAATTTAATTTAACAAATATATTCTTTACCTGAGTTAACTTGTCAGCTTGTGAGCATTTCACTGTTTACTGATCTACTACTTAAATTTTTAGGTGGAGCTAGTTGAGTAATGTGCACATTCAGCAGTAAGTCGACTGAACATAATTTGGATATTGAGGATATAAAATAAATTCACAAATGACTTGTCATAGCCTTCCGGTATTTAGCTTCAGATAAATGGTTACTTTAGTGGAACATGAGGTACTTTTGTGCAACCTGACCCTTTGAAATCCCCTAACACCAACAGGCTTAAATTCAACCAGACACATGATGTGTCTCTTAGCCTGGAACAGGCCAAAGTCCTATTTATAATGAAGCATCAACAGCATGGATCCATGCGCATGCGCAGCAGAGACGGGATTGGAGCAGCTTCAGACAGGGCGGCCCGTTACTAAGCAGCACCCCACACACCAGACCTCAGCACCGGGCACGAGGGACACTGCTGCCGGCGTGAAACTACCACAGACCCAAAGGAACACAGTAAGTACTCGTTCTTTTCTCTCCCAGTGACTCGTTCCGTTCTTAATGTATTTATTCGCATTTGCAAGTAAACCTGTTAGCCGTGGGGCGGGTGTTAACGGGGGGAAGCCTGGATTTTTCCCGTGCGCGGCGGACAGTCCGGAGGTATCCTGGGAGGCCTGTAGAGGGGGCCGCGACGACAGCAGCGCTGCGGTGTTTTAACCCAAAAGGCTCCCARCTAGCTAACATTTATTGTTCTCTGCTCCGGCTCGACATGTCAGACCTCCGCCCAGTTTTACTGTCTGTGGACCTCAGCGGTCTGCAGCCAGCTTTGCAATGGAGTCACATCTTTTTCCTTTTTTTCCTTCAAGGCCCCGTTCATCTTTAAACAGAATAAACTGACTTGTATTTTTGTTCGCTTCTGTTATCTTTATACTTGCACCAATGAATTAATCACAAGTCCCACAAATGGCCTGGAAGAATAAGTGATCATGTGACTCCAGACATTAATTTCAAAGGCTCATTTAAAATGGCTGTTAAAGATTTATATAAACAGGGAAAGGAGCATTATTTGCTCCTCTTCTGAGACAATAAATAGGATAAAATGTGAAATCTGTGCTGTTTGACAGATTGGTTACACCTGTTCATGCATGTCATCCCTAAAAATGCACTTGAAAATTATTAAGTACATTTTAACAGTTAAAATGTCAACTTATGGTAACAGAAGCTTAGAAAAATTTTCTTAAACATGATGAAAATAAATTGTTATTGAGCAGGGTTTCCAAACAGTAAGCAAGAAAAGCCAGAATATATGATTATCACCCCATGCTGAAGGGTGATAATGCTATTTATGTGCTTGTTTGTCTATATTAGCAAAATATATCATGAACTACTGGATGTATTTGAACACAACTCTCCAGGTCAGCACAGGATCAATAACAAATTAACTGCCTCATTCAAGATGACCACCTCAGCTGAGCATCCCTACAAAACACACAACTGTGTGTAAATAACTGATCCAGTTTTACAGATATCGAGCTGAAGTTTTGTGTGTAGTAGCTGAAGGACATCCCCATTTTATACTCCAAGAACTAGTAATGTTGGTTTTTAAAAATTTGCCAAGTGGAGTCTGTTAACAATATATGTCATAGACCGCTGGGCAGATTTACATGAAATGTGTAAAAAATAATCACTGGTAGTAGGGTTGGGTTATTAGCAAAAAATTAAATGACGATATACAGCGGGTAAAATAAGTATTGAACACGTCACCATTTTTTCTCAGTAAATATATTACTAGAGGTGCTAATGACATGAAATTTTCACCAGATGTCGGTAACAACCCAAGTGATTCATACATACAAAGAAATCAAACCATAAATGTCCAGAAATTAAGTTATTTGTAATAATGTGGAATGTACAGGGAAAAAGTACCATTCCACATTAGCCTTATATGGTGTTTATGGGGTGGTAATTATGCTAATCTCCTCTCGCGTGCACGAGCAGCTGATACAAACAGGTGGAATTTATGC